TCTTAACTCTTCGTTCTTACATCAGCGTTAGATTTTCATTAGCCTTGTCTGAATTTCTATTTTATTATTTAAGATTGAGAGTCCTTATTTATATTTTTATGTAATTGTTTATAAAAAAAAATAAAATTCACTCATCAAAGAAAATATTACATTATAGTAAGAATCATCAATGAAATACTACATTAGGTGCATCCAGAAGCACGATCGCTCAGTTCATTCTTACATCTGATTGGCATATTCTATAATTCATGCAATGTTGCACCAGTGTTGCTGTAACTTTTGTGCAATTTTGTGTAGGGGTTAGATCTAAAAATATAGACCAAATAATAAAATATCGGTACAAAGGCTCACTGAGTCCTCAATGAGCAGTCGTGCTTCTAGATGCACCTATTATATTTTTGAAATAAGACGAATTATTTAATATATTAATAATAATTAGTGTAATTATTATTAATACTCAATTCAACGAGGTGTTTAGTGTTAGTCGTTCAATGTAAGTGCAATCAATTTGTAGTCAACGACTTGATCCTGACCCTCATCCTCATGCCTTGATTTATATATAGGAAGTTGATTGAAGAGTTGAAAATTATGGGTAAAAGAAATATGAGACAGAATTGTAATTGGTTTCGGGACCAATAAACTATTATTGTATATATGTATGATATTGTACTTAAGCGCTATATTTCACGCAATATGTAATAAAATGGCGACAATATCTTCGACTAGATACATCTCTTCTATACAAAATCTGAAGATCAGAAATATTATTAATTTTCCAATGACAAGATTCCTTGATTTCCTGTTTTTTTTTTTTTTAATTTTTGTAGAATATTTTTCTCTAAAATTCATTCATCTAAAAATATAAAAATAGGATTGACCTACACATAATTCTCTATAGAGATCTTACAAAGGAATGAAACCAACTTTCCATGAAAAATAAAATAATTATAGATTCTCTCAAAGAATCTCTCATTGATGTAAGAATCACGAGTGGGATACGTCACATTTTTAAAATATTTGCGTAGAATCACAAAGTATTCTAATAATTACAAAGTAGTTGCTCGATATCTTCGCGTAGAGTAGCAAAGATCGGTCTTTCATGACTATTCAATTGCCAGCATGATAACATTAATTTTCTGTGGATTTCCTGTGGACAGTTGTCTGGACAAGGAAGACGGTGGCCACGTTCCAACGCGTTTAATAGGTCTGTTATAGTCGTCATTAAAATTTCTTTCTCAGCCACTCTCACTGACAGTTGTGGATCGACGCCATAGCTAAAAACCTCGTACATTGTCACACCGAATGACCACACGTCCGAACGCGTTGAAAATTTGTTATGCCTCAAGCTCTCTGGTGCATACCTAAAAAAATTTTTCTGATGCGTAAAAAAATAATTCAATCTTAGAAGAATTAGCGAGAAGAAAATATAAAATATTATATTACGTAATATATATTTTCAAATGTAAAACGTTATTTTATTCTATTATTGTTAAAATATTGAGAAAAGAGATGAACATATTTTTTATAATATTTACCATTTAATTGGAATATTACGAAGGGTTTTAAATACATAATAATCACTCGCAGCTATCACTTGCGCAAGACCGAAGTCGCTGATTTTCACTCGGTCTTCGTTCGCTACTAGGATATTTCTCGCTGCTAAATCTCTGTGAACAATGTTCATACTACCGAGATACTCCATGCC